AGCTGGCGAAGAACGCGGTGGCTTCACGTACAACTTTAATTTCGGCATTTTCGAGCGTTTGCCTTCACAGTTCAAGAGAATGAAAAAGGAGCCTGAACACCTGAGGTCCATCTTTAATAGCTGGAAATCTGGAATGCGTTCTTCTGATGAAGCTGCTGCGTACATGAGGTCTCAAGGTATGAGTGAGGATGCGATCGAACAGTTCACGAATGCGTATAAAGCGTATCTCAGTCATCAAGGATAAGAGATATTGCGAGGGTTACGTGCGACACAAGAAACCGGAAATAGAAAATGAGACGCCTTGCGGTTGTTTTTCTTTAAAGTTGTTCCGAACACAAACCAATCTCAAAAATCCTTTTTTTGGAATACTCCGTTTTGCTGGTTGTCAATACTTATCATGTTCCAAACATAATTAGGCACCAATCCTCCTATATGAAATGAATTATTCTGATCGGTGGAGGCAATCATCATAAGGTGACTTGACTAGAGGTCTTAAACCACAAAGTGTTAGCGTGTTGAACATCTCTTATAGTTAGTGAGCAGTAGGAAAATGGTCACTTCAAAAAACTTCCAAAGCACTTGAGTATTATTGGCGTGCTTGACTGCATCAAGCCCCCAAGCAGCCTATAATCTCACGTAGAATCACATTATTCCTATGACTTGTTACTATATTTATGCTTTTACATCGTGGTAACCGACATTTCACCAATGGACAAAACGACCTCCAAATTGCAGAAACCTGTGGTTGTTTCACCGTTAAGTCAATTCTTCACTCTGTTATTGTTGTTTTTCACGCTAATTTCCAGTTGAAAATACGAATGGCAGCCCTGTAATAAACAAGGCAGGTAATGGAGCCCAAGATTATATTACGTTATAATCCTATAATGTACAGGATTATTGTACAGGATTTCATTAGGATTATCATACCTTTCATCAGTGATTGAACAGACGGGGAAGATACGTCGAGGACGACGAAGATACGAAATATATGATCGTGGGGCTGTAAACAGCTCCCAGGATCCAAACATGATTTTTACAGGACGGATCCATGACTGAGACGGAACCAGCTAAGTGCTCGTAATATTCCCGAGGGCAACCACCATTAGAGTACTCTACATGTCGAAGAACGTATGAATACAAGCGAAATGTATTAGCCCACTTAAATTCCATCTTTGTAGAGCTCCTGCTGTGTCTTAGGATGAGTCTTACAAGCTAGTTGTAGACTGGTGGGGTTGTTGTCAGCAGAATCTTCCTGCGGTGCTCTTCTAAGTGGTCTCGCAATCCATTATCCTGCAACTTGGGTTGGAGGGAGGGATTCTTCGCCCGATTCATCTTGTGTTGGGGTCGAATCCCTGTCTTTTAGAGGTGTCTGCTGCATCTCAATGTCACTAGTCGCTGGGGTATTTTTGATCGGCGCTATCAAGTGTCCGGTCAAGATATAGTAGAAGAGCTCGAATCTGCGCTGAGCAAGGCAGTTGTCGTTTATGTCGTGCGTTAAGCCGTGAACGACCTTACGCATAAACATCCAGCACACGAAAACGCCACAACTCATCTGGTCGAACTGCACCGGCTTGTTCTGCGGGACCACGTCGTACTCAGCGAGACCATTGTGCTTTAGGTACGTAGCCACTTCTTTCGCAGCCCGCATGTACGGCTTCTGATTTAAAGGGTCGTAGTAGAAGATTCGCTTGTCTGTAACCTTTACAACGATGCAACACCAGTGTGCGTTGTGGAAGGTAAGTGCCAGCAATGCGGTTTCCACACCCACTTCTGCTATTTGATGTATGAGTCGGGCGAGAACGTCACTTGAGACCAGCGATTCTCCAACAGCTCGCGCACGTGAGGTTCTGGTAGTGACAGTCTGAAATCCAGCAAAGCGGGCCGAGGGGTTATCGGCGACGAGTCTGATAGCGAGTCCGCGGATGCACGCGTCCGATAGCCACGCCGGTGGTACGGCTCGGTACAACATTGAATATACCAACTCATTTGAGCCACTCAGCCCATTGATGTTCTTGTATGGGTAGTTATTCATAACTTCGTCTGCAACTTGCTTTGCCAAGTAGTGGTATTGCGCAGGGAGCGCAGAGAGGCCTTCCTCGAGGATCCATTTGTGCGTGTTGATTCCTTGCTGCACGATCGCCTTTAAACAGTCGATCTTCTTCATTAACTGGATCTGCGGACGCGAAAAAGACCCCACGTCTTTAATTTGGATAACCTCCATTACCGCGGTGGGAC